CTGCTGCTTTATACGTCTTATCTCTAAATACAGCTGCATTCTAAAGTGCTAGGGATTAAGAGTTCAGCATATGATTGGTGGTTGAGGTGGGCGTGGGGCCGCTTGGAAGATGCAATTCAGTCCATAGGACTATGATTCTGTTACTGTTTTAAAATGCACAGAAAGGACCTCCCTGATGGCACAGGGGTTAAAGTCTCAGTGCTATCAAGCAGCATGCTTTGAGTCCCAGCCAGGGAGGAGACCCACATGGCATGGCAGACCCCTCCTGACCCGCCCATTGCTCCTCTCAGCAGTGTTTCAGTAGATCCACCTGTTCTGCTCCCCACTCTGTCTCTGGTGAATCCTCTTACCCACTGCATCTCTGGCCTACACTCCAGTTTTTATGTGCATAAATAAGTAAAAATACATCTTAAAAAAATAAAATAAAACATACAGGGGAAAAAAAGATTGGCAAAAAATGCAAAAGACCAGTAGTTCTGAACAAGCCTGAAGATTCATAACATGTGACACTTGGTAAATAACTTTACTGCTGTATAAATCTATTTCACACGAATGTTTGAGGATGGCCTGAAGCAGAGCCCCTATCCTCATCATGTTTTATGCAGCAATTTTCATTAAGGGTTAAAATAGTTATTGAATTTTTTGGTGGTACCATATTTTCCTGGGGAAATATACTATAAAGATAAAAGCTGACATTGTATCTCTCATAAATATATAAATAACAAATATTAAAGGTTAAGACAGGTATTTGTGTGATACAATAATAAATTATTTTAATTTTATTACTGTTTAATTTTTTTTAAAGATTTATTTATTTATTCATACAGAACTGGGGTACAGGCCAGAGATGCGGAGGGTGAGAGGATTCACCAGAGACAGAGTGTGGAGCAGAACAGGCAGATCGATGAAGTACACTGCTGAGGGGAGCAGTGGGTGGGTCAGGAGAGGTCTGCCGCACCATGTGGTCACCTCCGGGGCAGGCGGGGATCGAACTCATGCGGAAGTGGCTTTAGTTTCTCAGTGCAGTGCTTTAACCCGCTGCGCCACCAGGGAGGGCCCTGTTTAATTTTTTATGAGAAATAATACTTTCATAATTAGGGAACAAACACTTTCCACCTGAAAATATGAAACCAAACTTGACGTCCTCAGTTTCAGACTTTATAGGCCTTTAAATTAATTTGTGAATTCTATTCAATTTGATTCAAAACATATTTGTTGAGCACCTACATTGTGCTTGGTGCTTGTGCTCCGAAGCTTCACAAAAGACCATCTGACTTGTCTGAAAATTTTTATTCTAGTTAAGGCATCTGAAAACCTCTCTGTTGACTGTGAGAACTACTATAAATAAAATAGGGAGGCTTGAGAAAAACTGATAAAAGTCTTCACAGAGATGACTTTCTTTCAGAGTTGAGCCTTGAAGATAGAGTAAGATTTCACCATTCAGAGAAGGAAATAGTATATCATTTCAAATGTCAGGTCTTCAGGGAGACAAGGAAGTGTCTACACTAATTTTTGAAGCCAGGAACGGGCCTTCAGGAAGAGGAATTTGGTCAAAGGTGGGACGAAAGATGAGCAGCTGGGGGCAGAGTTTGGTGGTAGCGAGACTCAGAGGAGTTCTTCACCACAGTTCTTGAGCAATGATAAGGAATCTTTAGGATGCCAGCAGCTAGATGGAAATAGGGGTAGTCAGATTTGGAACTAGAGTTGGCAGAATTGTTTTGTAGGGAGGTAGGGAAAAGGGCTTCAGGGAGGCTGTCCAGCCTGTTAGTTGCAACTTGGGAGGTTAGAGAGAGTTCCAGCGAAGGGAGGCTTGATGAGATTCTGACACAGGCAGAGAGGTTGTCAGTTAATTCAGCCTGATTTCCAAAGTGCAGCTTTTTGCATCAAATCCTAATATATAATTTCTTCAGGCTGAAGAACCTCTCTGTATGTGTGTTTTTTTTTTTAAGATTTATTTATATATGCATATAAGAACTGTGGCACAGAGGTGCTGGGATGAGAGGACTCACTAGAGGCAAAGTGGGGAGCAGAACAGGCAGATGTACTGAAATACACTGCTGAGGGGAGCAGCAGGCTGGTCAGGAGAGGTCTGCCACACCATGTGGGTCAGCCCCCTGACTGGGGTGTGAAAGGCTTCACAGTCCTGCACTTTAACCCATTGTGCCACCAGGGAGGGCCTGTGTATGTGTTTTTAACCAAAGCATTTACATCAAGGTTGTATGTGTTGTGCTTGGATTTTATTTTGCCATAGCTGTTTAGTAGTACTTCATCTTATTACCAAATAATCACTGTTATAGATATTATTCCTAGCTTAGATTTGGACGATAGAGGCACAGAAGGATTGTTTTAGAATTTGTCCATAGCCACAAAGGCAATACAAAGCTGTCACTCACTTTATGACATTAATTGAATGGTAACAAATCAGGTACCATGAATTGCATTATAGAGAGCATCTGGAAATTTGTGATCACATATTTTCGCACTTCTGGTATTTAGTGTGTTTAATTTAACTCAAATGTTTAATGAGCATTTATATGGAATAGATAGAGAAAAAATCTTGTAGAGTAGAAGAGTTAACATTTAGCTAAAGAAGCAAGACTAATTAGGAAACACTGGCATTTTCCAACAGAGCAAGGAGTCAAGTAAGGATATTTTATTTAATAAATAATAAGTTTAGTATAAACTACAGATGAAAGGGCCCATATAAATGTAAAGTTACTGTTGGCATTTAGACTTAAGAACAATTACATCTTTTTATATTTTATAAATCCTTTAATCTCATGATTTCAAAGTGTTTAGTAAATAGGAACTCATTAAGGAGCATTCCATCACTATGAGATAGTTTTTACAGTCAGCAGAGTGTTTTTCAGCCTCTTAACTGGAGTGATCTGTTTCATAGTTTTAGATGGAAGGAGGAGTGAAGAGATTCTTCCAATAACACAGTGTAAGTTACTAGTAGTTGGTAAAGATAAAGAAATAGAATGTAGTTTTTCTTGACATTCTAAACTTTGCTTTGGCCTGTAGCTTTTTAAAATTAAGAAGTAAATATTTGTTTTATAAAACATTCAAAGAAACATGATTTAAGTTTTCTCTTTGATATTAGCAAAAGAAAATTGCTAAACACAAACTTGCCTGACTTAATACTGTATAAATCTAAAATCCAGTGCAGAGTATCTTTTTCATGAGACATAGAAATCTAAAGTAATACTTTAATTTTAATGTTCTAAGGCACTTTATACTTTTCAAAGTGCTTCATTTTATTATTTCATTTCACATCATGAAAGCTTTCATCAACTTAGAAATTTGAGAAAAGCAAGGGTAACAGTGGAGATGAAAGCAACATCAATTCCAAAGTAACTAAGCTGGAGGAACATCAGTGTTTTGGTTTTTATTTTTAAAGATTTATTTATTTATTTATGTATGTAAGAATTGGTGTGCAGGCCCCAGGTGCAGGGGAGATACAGAGACAGTAGGAAGCAGAAAAGGCAATTGACTAAAATGCACTGCTGAGGGGAGCTGTGGGTGATTCAGGAGAGGTCTGCTGTGCCCTGTGGGTTAGCTCCCTGTCAGGGGATCCGGGATTGGGATCAAACTCATGCTGAAGTAGCTGCCAATAGCTTGATGGTCCTGAGACTTAACCCATTGGGCCTCCAGATAGGTCCCTGGAACTTTAGTTTTTATTGATACATTTCAGCATATTGATACATTTCACCACTCAGATCCTAGTCTGGAAAAATGATTGAGTTAACTTCAGCCTGGAGTAGTTGAGTCAACCTTTATCAAGCAGATGGAGTTAGTAAAGAGAAATTTTATACCAGATTTTGTAAGCGGTGTCATTGTCAGTTGGGGAGAGTAATTGGTGTCATTTAAAAAAAATTATCTGTAAGGAATTTAAACATTGATAATATACCCATTGAAGTCGACGGGATTATAGCTTTCTATATTTCAGTGTTTTCAATTTTTTGTTTTCCTAACCTGATTTTTTTTGTGTGATTAAAGATTACAGTTACAAAAATGTAAATATCTAAATTATGGTGGTTCTAATAAAATCATTAGAATGATGGGGAACCATCTGGAAAAAAAACAAAACACTGATGTCATCAATAATAATAGTGATACTAACCGCTGAGTGCTCTGTGTGTCTGGCACTGTGCTAAGTGCTTTGAAGCATTAATTCTTTATTTTTTCTTTAAGTTTACTTATTTGTGCATACAAGAGCTGGAGTAGTGTAGGCCAGAGGTGCCAAGGTGAGAGGATTCACCAAGACAGAGTGGGGAGCAGAACAGGCAGATCTACTGAAACACACTGCCAAGGGGAGCAGAGGCAGGTCAGGAGAGGTCTGTTGTGCCATGTAGGTCAGCTCCCTGGCCAGGGATCACACAGGTGCTGCAGTGGCTGCTGATAGCTTCATAGTGTTGAGACTTAACCCCTGCTCCACCAGGGTGGCCCCAAAGTATTAACTCTTTAATTCTTTAAATCAGAGCTGCTCCTACATCAATTTCTCTTGAAAAGTGTCAAACTCTGATCCTTTTGACAGCCATTTCAAGTAAGCAGGTGGCATAATTTACATATTATAATTAGTAGTAAGAGGTGAGAGCCAGAAAAACAAAACAAAAACAAAGAGACAAGGTTAGTTGGGTGTGACTCTAAGGCTGAGACTGAAGACGATCTACCGCCCTCCCGAGATCTACCCTGCCTGCCTCTAGAAGGCGCGCCCCTCCATTAATACTTCGGAGGGTGACTTACACATCAACTAAGACCCTAAATGTGCAGGCGCGCGCGCACAGTCCAATTGCAGGCACCTGGCTGTACGTGAGTCTGGGAGGGGCCTGGGCCTCCTGCTTCTGCTCCCTGGAATCCAATCATCTGGAGACCTTGGGGTACGTCCCGCTGTCGGCCACGCCCCCAGCCGGCTGGGGGCTCTTTAAGAGCGGGCCGCGGGCGGCCGGCTCCGTGTGGGGTGCTGGGCTGTAGGCAGGGAGGGAGTCTGGCGTGTTCCACCCCGAGGCTCTCGCGGGCTGCTGCCATCCTAGCGACCGCCTTTGCGCCTTGCGCCGCCCGCCCACCGGGGGCTCCACCGCCCTCTTCTCGGCCTTACTAGCCCGCAGCCTCGCGCTCCGCAGGTCCTTCGTGTGCGGGTCGGGAACTTCGCGCCCCTCACGCTTTCCCGGCGCCCGACGGGGCCGCCTCGGGCCATGGTGCCCTTCCAGGAGGATCCCGCCGCCGAGCAGGGAACTGGAGAGGCGCAGCCTCCTGACCCCACGCCCATGGGGGCCGCTCCTCTTTCCGACCCGGGACCCTCAGATGGCCCCGAGGCGGCCACTGAGAAGGTGGAAGTAGAACTGACCGGGCCGGCGGGGGCAGAGCCCCCGCCGCCCCCAGAGGGCGGCTGGGGTTGGGTAGTGATGCTGGCGGCCATGTGGTGCAACGGGTCGGTGTTTGGCATCCAGAACGCCTGCGGGGTGCTCTTCGTGTCCATGCTGAAGACCTTCGGGTCCGCAGACGATGACAAGCTGGTCTTCAAGACAGGTGAGCGCGGCGGCAGCCGGGCCAGCCCCGCGGGCGAGCGCAGGGCGCATCCCGCGTGTGGCGAGTGTCTGCGCGCCGGGCGTGCGCGCCGGAGGGTCGCCGTGTTGGAACCCGAGGGTATGAGAGTTGGATCTGTCCCATCGCATATGCTGCCTGTCGCTCCGGGCCTCGGCGAGCCGGTCTTTGTATTGAATCCAGATGTAGGGACTGTTGTTTGGAAACAAGTCGCAGAACTTATTTGCTTAGACAAGCTTTCATTCCTGCAAAGTAAAGCTGAGAGTCTGCGGTAGACTTTTTTCTTAATTTTTGAAAACAAGCACACTTTTTGTTCCAAACCCAACACCACCACACTGTCATTTTTGTGACCATGACGGTTGGGTTTTGTTCATCTCCCTCCGGAACTGCAGGTGGGTGTGTGTGTGTGTTGGGAGAGAGGCAGGGTTGGAGAGATGAAAGAGATTTATTCCAAGGTCACAGGGAGCTCTGAAGGAGTCCCGCCAGAGACGCGGTTTCGGTTTTTTTTTGGGGGGGGGGAGTGCAGTAGGGGGAACTGTGCTAAATATAGAAAGCATGAGAAGCAGCAGGCACTAGGAAGAGGAAGGTGAGGGATTGCCCTTTCCTGTTGTGCTCTTTGTAATATTTAGCCATGCAGTAAGCTAGATGAAAAAGGTGCAGACTCAACATTCTTTTCCCTGTAGAGCTTTTTTACTTGATTTCTTGACTGATTAAGCAAAAACAGCTACAATACCTGTGTAACTCTTGCATATTCACTTCATCCTGCAAGGTAGGCATTGTCAGTTCCATTTAGGCGAGGAGACTGAAGCTTGGTGAAAAAAGTGTCTTGGTGAGTGGCAGAATAGAGCTAGAAAAGTAGTCAGTTTTCCTCCCAGCCATTTAGGAAACTATATAACTTTTAGTCTTTTTTTTTCTTTAATATTTAATTTTCTATTTTTTTTAGAGTGAGTATCCCTTAGGTCTCTAGTAGACATACAAGGAATATGTATAATTATTATAATACATTCTAAAGCAGAGGTTATGCTGAGTTTTAAGACCTTAAATAGATAGTATACTATATATGATACTGTATGATACTATAGTATACATATATGATACTATATATGTTATTCTGAAACTTGCTTTGCTTCAGTTATGTGATTTAGTCATATAACACCTCAATTTGAGTTGGTACCCTGAACTTTTTACATTTTAATTTATGGTTTTCCACTGTCTCTTTTTAATAGACGTTCGATTTCTTGCAAACGTACTATCAACAATGCTGCAATGAATATTCTTCATGTTTCCTTTCCCATGCCAAGAAGATACCATATTTAATTTGAAATTTCTGTTCTGTAAATAGTTCTTGAAGCTGCTGTGTTATATAGGTCACAGGGCTAGCTAGGTACAAAAGTGTGAAAAATGTAATCGCATAGCTGTATAGATAAACATATGCACTAGTAATGCAAAAATATTTTATATCTTTTAATATGAATTTTGTGTCTCGGAGATAAAAGTTCAAGGCGACAGAATTGAGAGTGTCAACATTTTAAGATTTTAGTTCCTTTAGGATCTGGTACAGTCTTGCCTGGTGTTACAGCTCTTTAATGCAGTCAAGACAACTAGGCAGCAGTCTATTGAGTAGTAGACTCACTGTTGTCTGTAAATGTATTTTTTCCCCCCTCCCTTTTTTTTTTAAGATTTATTTTATTTATTTATGCATACAAGAGCTGTAGTGTAGGCCAGCGGTGTGGCTGGGGTGGGGGTGTGGTGAGAAGATTCACCTGAGACAGTGGGGAGCAGAACAGGTGGATTGACCGCAGAGTAACTGCTAGAGAGAAGGGGAGAGAGACCATCTGTAGCTTTGACAGGGGCCACGTTTTGCATTATGATAGCCATCTGTCTGTCACCCCCAAAGTTACTGGTGGCTACAAAAATCCCAAGACTGGGTAACTGAAGATGAGGGAGGGGACAGGAAGGAATCTTCTCTTGACGTTTAGAAACTCTGTATTTTCAGTTTTGATGAATATCTGTTTTTGTATACTCAGTTAAACCCTTGATAACTTTCAGTTATGTTTGTGTGTGCATCCTGAAGATCCCTGTGTTTATCTACCTGGTCACCATGCTTCGTTGTGCTCTTGTATAAAGGTGCCTGAATTAGAGTAAGCGGAGACTGAAAACCAGCCTATGCTTCTGGGTGTCCTTTATGTAATTCCTACCACAGGGCCCTGAACACATGTATAACATGGCAAGTGTATTGTACAGTGGCCTTCATTTGGATGTTAGGTGATATACATATGCACACACACAACAACAACAGATTTACGAACTGAGGAAGAAAACATTTAACTTCGACAGTAAAAAAAAGTTGGTGACAGGATAGTCTTTCAGCTAGTTTTTGTTATTACTGAGCAAGTACTTTTCCTTGCCCTCTCTCTCCCTCCACACACACGCTTTATAAAGTCCATCCTTTGCAGTAGGCACTGAAGTACCTGCTTTGATGTTTAACTGTTCAGACTTTTTCATTTTCATTTTGGCATTCTTATGCTGAACCATCTAGATCGAATACACGCAAGCCAAGTATAATGCAAAAAAATTTCTGAGTTTGCTGAAGGCTTTTATTTTTGAAGATTGGTCCATTTTCTACTCTCTAGTCCTTCTTGATGCATTAGGGACCCATTGACTGTCTTCATGTTTTCCTTGCTTCTTTTCAGTGATTAATCCCAGGATACACAGGAAGGTGTATTGTCTCATGATTTACACTTCTTGATACTTTCTGTATTCCTGGCCCAGTGTTAAGCACTTTACATACATTCCTGTTTAAACCTCAGTGCAACCCCATGAGATCAGCTTTACTTAATATCTTTGTTTTCAGATGTGGACACTAAAGGATTGAAGAATTTAAGTAAGCAGTGGAGGTAGGATTTAATTTCAGAAGTAGGGGTTTTAATGATTAATCATATATCATTGGTTAGATGACATCCTGCTAATACAGCCTTTGCTATGTTGTTGATTCATTCAAGCATTAGCTGTTGATTTATATATCAGGAATTCTGGAGTTAGTAGTCTGAAAGAGGAGTGTCCTCGTTTATTGATCTTACTTTGCTGACTGTAAACAATTGCCATTTATTAGTATCTCTGTGAAATAGATTTTTAAAGTATAGAATGAATTTCATGGAGAAGCAAAATAGTTTCCTATGGCATTCAAGCAAAAGACAGGGTTTCTTTTGAAGAATATGCTTCTTTAGATTAAACCATAGCAGGGCAGTGTTTTTAGGCAGAACTGAATAAGCCTTTCTGAGGCTCACTTTTCTTCTTTCGATTCTCTTCTTATGTAACTGATGATCCACCCAAAATTTCTCAGGAAAAGGTCTAAAGAAACTAATTCACACTAAGATATAAGTAAGCTTACACATCTTAATACTCCTCATTCATTCTATGGATGTTTGCCAAGTGTTTGGCTCTCTGTCCTGGGCACGGGAGATGTGTGTAGCAGAGACAGCTGTTCCCAAGGACTTTAGATCTGTTGTGGAAGATACAGACTGCTTTTTTGAGGCATTTGCAATACTCCAGAACCCACTCTTATTTTGCAATTCTGAAATTCTAAGAAAAGTCCAGCAATGGTAGAGATGGGGGAAGCTTTTATAATGTCTTTCTATATAGTGATAGATATCACTTTGTGAAATTAAGACTGTGGAAAGGGGAAGTGAACCTAACTCCAAGTTAGGCAGTAGAGGCAATGGAAAATGTTGAGCACGTCACTGCCCCATTTAGTCACTCAGTTGCCACTGACATGGCACTCAGAGATAAGACTTGCACATGCTGCTGCCACGGTAATGCCGCTCAGAGGGAGCAAGCTGTGCTGTCTCTTTTCAGTTAATGTTTTATCCGTTCACAGGTGCATGCTTCTTGCCTGGGTAGAGGAGAATCAGATGCTTTTGAGAAAATAAAAACAAATACTACAATTACTGGATCTTTGCTTTCCCTTACAAATTGCAAATTTGCTTTAATTTTGCTGGATATTAGAAAAGTTATTTTTAGTTCCTTCATGGAACTGATAAAGTTTTTTATCTTCTTGATACAGTGCCATGGACACCGCTGGGATCTTACAAGAGTATTTATCTAGTTTACTATCTGCTTACTTCCTGGAAAAAGAAAAACATATTAAATAGTATATTGACTTTTAAAAAAATATCTATTTGAAACAGGTATGTTTTTGGACCTTCTGGTGGTGCAGGGTTCAGGTCTCAGCACTATCAAGCTATCGCCAGACACTGCAGCATGAGTTCCATACCTGGTCAGGGAGCTAATCCCCATTGCGCAGCAGACCTCTCCTGTCTAGCTTGCTGTTGCACTCAGTAGTGTATTTCAGTAAATCCATTCTGCTCCTCACTCTGTCTCTGGTGAATCTTCTCACTATCCCCCACACCTCTGGCCTCGACCCTTGTTCTTTTATGCATAAATGAATAAATCTTAAAATAAAACAAGTATGTTTCCATATGGAGTCAGTATTTAGGGCAGTCAGTGATCCCCTTTTGAAGAAATTATGTCTCTGTGGTCTAGAGGCTTGGTCCAAAAGACCACTGTCTCTTTTAGTAATTCCCAAACTATGTTCTTTATTGGTTTTTCTTGATTACCCCATTATACTTCTTGCTCATGCTCCAGCCAACCTGAAGTTCTTGCAGTTTCTTAAATTTGTCCTGTTCTTTTGCTTCTGTGCCCTCTCTTTAGTGTATGGTTACTCTTGTTAAGATTCAGATGAAATCGTTGACCATTTCTTTATCCCTTATGTCACAACCAGTCCCTTATGTAACAATGATTTCATGTCATTCCTGCTCCATTTTTGATGTACTTGGAATATTTTGGGTCAGTGTGAATTCAAGCAAGTTATGAATTAAGTTTATAGTGGAAGACAAAGAACCTAATTTCAACCTATTCTAAGCTAGCATTCTGTGAAGGGCATTTCTAAGATAACCCATATCTGTTTAAGTGGTAATTTTCAAAGT